TTCGATCCCCGGCCAGCCAGGGAGCAACCCATATGGCACAGCAGACCTCTTCTGTCTCGCCCGCTGCTCCCCTCAGCAGTGTATTTCAGTTAGTCTGCCTGTTCTGCTCCCCTCTCTGTCTCTGGTGAATCCTCTCACCCCCTGCACCTCTGGCCTGTACCCCAGCTTGTATACATAAATAAATAAATCTTTTTAAAAAATTAAAGCAAAATAAAACAAAAAAAAACAAAAACAAAGCCAAAAAGGAGAGCAGACGCCCATCTGTTCAGTCATTTAAGTCCAACATGGCCCCTCAGCTCTGCCCTACTTCACAGTGGTGCCCCATACTTGGCACACTGAGATCTATAGTTTTAAGCCTGATAGCCCTGCGGCAAAGAGACAGGGGTGGAGTCTGGACGCTCCACCTTCACCATGAGTGTCCCCCACTGACCAGAAGTTTGCTCCTCACTCTTCCTTTAACAAAGTTACACAGCCTGGGGAAGGGCTTACGGCCTTCTGTGGGTAGGGCTCTGGTAGGAAGGTGGGGGGACAGCAAGTTCAAGCAGTTTGCATGTAGTGAAACAGCAAGGCAAGTACATCACTGCAAGCTGAAGTTGACAGTGACTTTAGGTCGAAGTGGGACTATAACATCGGGAAGTCCTTAAATGCCACAGATTTGAGACCTACGGCAGAGTTCCCACCATTCCACAATGGAGAGAGCACCAGGCCCTAAGGAAGGGCCAGCCACATTTCCCAACTATATCATTCTATTTCACACTGTGCAAGATGGAAAAAGACAAAGTGGTTCACTACTCGTGTCTGCCAGCCACAGCATGTTGTCCTAAGACAGGTATTTCCACCCTGGCTGTTCAGAACACTGTGTCTAAAATTTGTTTTTAAGATTTATTTATTTATGCATACAATAACTGGGGTACAGGCCAGAGGTGTGGGGGGTAAGAGTAGTCACCAAAGACAGGGTTGGAAACAGAACATGCAGATCTACTGAAATACAATGCTGAGGGCGAGCCAGGAGAGGTCTGCTGCACCATGTGGGTAGCTCGCTGGCCAGGGATCGAACTTATGCTGCAGTGGCTGCAGACAGCTTCACAGAGCTATGCCTTAACCCCTTGCGCCACCAAGGAAGCCCCTACAAACATTTTTGATTGCATACTCCATGAAAAAAAAATTTTGAGCATGCACCCCATGTGTATTTATTTACCTATAAATTATAGCTGTAAGTTCCCATATGGTATGTGTGTTATAAAGCATACACTGGACATTCCAAAAGGGTGATAAAAATAAAGTATGAATAGAGTTGTATTATTTCCTTCGGGCATCCCTGTGAAGTTCCTTGTGCATTCCTCTAGGATACGTGTGACCATGTGGAGGGCCATAGGAGGTTATAGGAATCACCCAGCAGTGACCAGCTGGATAGCCCACGTTCAAACCACTCTCCTGCCTTCAACAAATGTAACAACAGGAGCTTTAGTCACAATGGTTCAGTTCTCATTCAAAAATGTCATAGCTAAGACACCAATCAAGAGAGCAGAGAGTACAGAGTGATGGGGCTTACTACAATGGTGTGATTTAAGAGCACACCCAAGCCCAGGAGATTAGCTGTTGTCCATCACATATCAATAGTTCATGTTCTGACCTATAGACAAAGGAAGAAAAAGAGGAGGTTTGGGCAACAGTTATGAACTTCCTGGAAGAACTACGGAGAGAAGAGTCATTGTATAAAATTTTTCAAGTTCTTTCCCTTTTTATTACTCCTGAAAGACACTTAATGAAACTAATTATATCTCTCTATTAAGTGCATAATCTGGTCTTCTCTTATTAAATTGTGATTACTAGGGACAGATGTAAGAAGTCTGCTTTGCCTCTTGTAGTTATTTTCATAAATATTTCTCAGTTTAAATATCACTCCCTTTAAAATTACTTTGTCTGGTTTCGGAAAACCAAACATTGACATCTTTGAGTCTACCTCAAATCATTATGAAGTCATCCTTGGTCATAGGAATTGAGTTCTGGAGAATCATATGTAATCATGGGAACTTTGTGAATACTCCCAGTTTGTTATTTCTCAAGGCAGTAGTGGAGTTTTAGAATGATTAAATTAATGTTAAACTGTGGCCTCACATTTTTCTTATGGATAAAAATGTGTAGCAATTAAATCTACACAAGTATTAGCACCACAATATTTCCTGGGCCAGTAACAGGATTACTGCTAAAGATTCAGGGAGATGCTCATAGAACATGTAAGAAAGAGATTAAAGAGTACCCTTGAACTGTAAAAGCAAAGTAGTTTAATAAGTCACAATTTGCTCACTACTTTTGTAAGTACCAGAATGGTGCAGATTTTGTTCAGTTCATTGCTATCCATTCCCGCCCCCCCCCCCCAGCACCCAATGAATTCTTCTGGAATTAATGAATGAATTTATGGAACACAAAACCCCAAAATATTACCATGGATACAGAACTATCAATTTTCCCAAGGAACAAAATAGAATTCTCTTTGGGGATGAGGGAGATGGAAATGTGATAACCAAAATTTGTGTAGAATGAATGAAACCAAACTATTAATGAGAAATGAAAATTTTTATTTTGCTTTGAATTATGTCCAAGGAAAGCTTGACTCAATGTTTAACATCGTTTTGAAAGAGCAATGTGTCTTATAATATGATCAGTTTTTAAAATTCGCTAAAATGGCATCTAAGTTAATATTACATAACAAGTTATGGCCACGGGCCAAGGGCTCTTGGAACACAAGTCTATCTGAGAAGAGCATCATTTGCCTCTGTATGCTGTTGAGCTCAAGGAAAAGGTTGGTGGCGGCCTCTCATTTGATAGGTAAACATGCAGCAGTACACAGGGCTCTCAGGGCGTGGAGACGTCAGTCCACAGAAGGTCTCATAAAGAAGCAAAAAGGCAGGTGTGTAAGTTGGGGGAATGCCTGATATGCTTGTGACGAAGCTATGGAGAGAGAGCAAGGTAAGCACAGGGAGAGCCGGCTGGCTCTGCCTGAAGGAATCAGGGCCCCACACACACAGCCAGAGAGCTGATCCATCAGAGAAGGACAGGCATGGTTTTCCAGGAGTAAGATTTTGGAGACCATCAGACATGCAGTATGGGCGCCAGAAGATAATAGTAGCCTGGGAGGCAGCCCTGACAAATTGGCACAGGCTGGATGGCTTCAACAACAGAAATGTACTTTCTCACAGCTCTGGAGTCTGGAAGCCCAAGAGCAAGGTGGTTTCCTCTGAGGGATGGTTTCCTCTGAGGCTGCCATCTTGCTGCCTTTTCACGTGGACATTCCCCTGTGTGCATGCACCACGGGTGTCTCTGTGTCCATCCCCTTTTCTTATGAGGATACTAGTCAGATTGGATTACAGCCAACCTAAGGTCTCGTTTTAACTTAATTACCTCTTTATAGAGCCTGTCTCCAGAAGAGTCACATTCTGAGGGTCAGGGATTAGGGCTTCAGCATACGGCTGTAGGGGAAACCCAATCCCAAACACAATGGAAGGTGGGGTGGTAGTTCTCCAAGTGTGATGAAGTGGACCAAGGGGGAGACCCACGGCCTTCTCAGGGAGTCTGCACAGTCAAGATTACTATTGTAATGTTACTAAAATGTTTTTTGCCTTTTTCACTGTATTTGTATTTGCACTGAAGCTATGAAAACAATCGTAGAAAAAGCTGTGGATGCCTTAGAACAGACTGTGGCAGTGACGTCAAACCCTCCTAGTTGTCATGGTGACCTTCACTGCTATGGTGGGTTAAATAAAGAAGACAGTTTTACACAACAATGTCCTTGATGAAACAGTGTAAACAGCTAATTGTACTGGATCTTGACCTTTCAGCACATGTCTCTTGAATATTCTGTGTGATGTAATGGCACAAATAGCCCTGTACAGTTGTTTGATTTGTGGACTGAACTAATTGCTTTCTTCATGGAGCCCCCTTTTACTTGAAAGAGTAACTGGCAAGTTATAGTTATTCAGATTTGACTGTTTGGCAGGCATTTTCCTGAAATTCAAGCAAGGGAGGATGTCACACCAAGGACGAACAACTGATAGTGTTTGTTTCTTTTGAGCTTCTGAGCAAAAGTGAGTTTTGAAAATCTTGTCCTGGGCCTCGTGATTTTGATGGCTTCCCAAGACATTTCATATGAGATTGGAGATGACATTAATGAATGAGGGTTTTTTAATATTGTATTATGAAGAGGGTCAATATTTGGAAAATCTCCATGATGCAGTAAATTAACATTTTCCAAATAGTCAATGCATGATGTCAGAAAATTATGCATGAATGATCCATTCAAAGTGACACCCACGAGAGACAAATGCATGAATGCAACTTAGTAGGGAAACTTCACTGATACCCTTTCAGATTTCGTATTGCAATGAAACAAACTATTTGTCAAATTTTGGTAAGGTTTCACAATTATATGAAGAGGCTATGAACAGTCTATCTTTCCCAAACACGTATCTGTACAAGACCAGATTTTTCCCCCATGTACTATACTAAAACAACATATTAAAACAGAATGAATACAGCTGCAGTTTATAAATCCAGCTGTTGAATATTCGATATCAAGCCCACTATTGGATATTAGATATTAAACCCACTATTAAAAATATTACAAAAAATATAAACAGTACCACTTTTCTGACTGTTTTTGGTTTTAGAAAGTTGACTATTCATTTAAAACTGGCCTTTATGTTAAGATACAATGGGTTTATTACGGCTTTTAAATGAATTAATAAATTTTTAGGAATTTAGTAGAGCTATAAGTCACATAGCCTAAGGCACTTTGGAATTCCAATAATTTTTAAGAGTATAAAGAGGACTCAAAACCAAAAACTTGGAGGACCACCGTTGTAAATTTATATAGCTTCTGCCAACAAGGCACTGTGGAATGCATGGGAGTGATGGCAGGAGGTAAACTAAAATGACAAGGAATTGTAGTTGAGCACAGGTATGTTTTTTAAATTTATTTTATTTATACAAGAGTTGGGGTACAAGCCAGATGCGTGGGAGGGTGAGAGGATTCACCAGAGACAGAGCGGGGAACAGACAGGCAGACTGACGAAATACACTGCTGAGGGGAGCAGGGCATGAGTCAGGAGAGGTCTGCCGCACCATGTGGGTTGCTCTGAGGCCGGTGGGGATCGAAACGGCACTGCAGAGGCTGCAGACAGCTTCACAGAGCTGCGCTCAACCGCCTGTGCCACCAAACTAGCAGCAGGGCACAGCTGGCCACTGTGATGGGTGCCAACCCTTGGGCTGTCTTAGTACCCTGAGGCCTGGGCCTGTTCAGATGTGTTTTCACAGTTTTAAAATAGTACCACCATATGCAGACTCAACAGGATGTATAGTGTAACTTAGCATCACTCTACATCACCAGCACCAAAGGATGAAAGTTAGTATCCAGAACATGTGGTCCAGGCAGGCAGGGGAGCAGGTGTGTCTTGTTTGCTGATGCGCCCTCTTGCTAGGACAGCAGCTGTCTCATGATGGGTTCTCCATAGACACTGATTGAATAAACGAACGAATGGTGTCATGCTAACTTTTAACCATCGACTATCTCAGCTCTAATGTGATCAAAACTGGCCTAGGAATTATAAAACACATATGTGCTGTCCACTGAAAGTTTGTTCCCCCAAATTCACATGTTGAATGTGAACACCATACGTGCTGGTATACTAAGGGGGAGCAGATTTGATAGGTGAATCTCTGCCCTCAAATTAGCGTCCTTATTAAATAGACCCTGGCAAGTTTCCTCACCCCTTCTGTCATGCATACTGACTTCCCGTTTGTTTTCTTTTTTTTCCCCATCCCCATCTCTCAGTACAAGAGTGGATCTAGATTGCAGTAATGGTTTCAAGCGTCTACATGTATTTTCCTTGTCAAATACACTATGATAAAAAAAAAAAAAAACAAATACACTATGATAAGAAGTTTGATCTTGAACTGCACTGTCCAGAGTAGTAGCCAACTGCCAGATGTGGCTATGCGAATTTAAACAAGCTAGAATTCAGTAACATTTAAATTTTAGCTCTCCTGAGAAAGGATGTATTTGCAGAGCAGCTTTCTTCCAATTTGCTATTTCATTCTGCCAGTATTCACTCATTCATTCAAAAAATAATTATGGAGCTCCTTCTGTGTGCCAGGTATTTATCTGGGTTCTGGAACAAAACAAAATCCCTGGCCTCACAGAGCTTATGTTGTACCTAATGGGTTGAGAGGCAAATATTAGCTCTGTTCTCTGTTCTCAGAGCCAGATGCATAGCTATTGTGTGCCAATGCAGGGGACAGAATAAGAATATTCCAGTTCTGTTGTTACTCACTAAGAAGTCATCAAAAGAGGCAAATATTAAGAATATAACTTGTGATTTTAAAAGACATTCTCATCATCAGTGATAAAAAAGCCTTGTAAAGAATTTTAATGTACTCTTTCTGAAAAGCCTTATCAACCTGAAAAAGTATGCAAAGAACTTACACACATTTTCCAAGGTCACCTTCTTCCTTCGTGGAATCAGAGCTTCTACAATTGGAAGTTACTTTAGTCTCTTCAACTCCAACTTTCCTCCCACGACACCCCACAAGAAACTACTTCATTCGTCTCTTGCTGAGCTGTGTCCCAGGCTGTCAACAATTTTCACCAGTGTTAATTTTATTATTGTTGTTGTTACAGTATCACATATCCATTGTTCAAAGCTTAGAAATAATAGAAAAATTTTAAATGAGTCATATTCCTTCCACCCAGAGAGAAACCATCATAAACATTTTTATATATATCCTTCAAGATTTTCTTGCTTTTACTCTCTCTACATATATGTACAAAAACACACACATGTAATTCTATTCAGTTAAAATATTATCATTTGGGTTCTGCTTTTTTCTATTAAGCCATGCAGTACAAACATCTTTCATCCAAATAAGTATTACTCTACATCACCATCATAGTGACTGTTAATATTCCATTCAATGACTATATATCATGATTTACTTCAGCCCTTATTGTCAAAAAGTGTACGTTGTTGTAAATGTTTCACTCTTACAACCAATATCCTTGTATATATAGCTTTGTGAGCCAGGTTAAATTTCAGTGCCTAAAATCTAGAAATTCCTGGGTCAAAGTTTCTGCACATAGTCAAGAGTTTCCATTATTTTATCTAATTCTGTGTTTAAAAAAAATGTACATTCACTCTTGTGGCAGTAATAAGAATGCCCTGTTCCCCCGGATCACCCCCATGACACTGTTCTTAGGCAAACTACCTTTTCTCTACTTTTCACTCATTGGTTCCTAGGTTGGCCTGGAAAAACCTTCATAGTGTTTGAACAAAATTGCCATGTCCCTCCAAAGTCTCCATTTTGGACGTAGCATCCCTCCAGTGTAGACTAATAAATTATTGTCAGCCTGGCACCTGGAGGATCAAGAGTTCTGTCCTTGATCTTTTAAGACTCAACATGCTAACAGATGACTTGGAGGGAGCTATAAAAAGTATGCTGGCAAATTTGGCTCAACTGTTGTTTAGTGCCTACCAGATGCTGGGAATGATGCCTTGTTCTTAGGACATAAATACCAATGAGCTCTCTCGCCTGTCCTGGAGGTGCTTACAGGATATGCAGAGCAGAGGTGCATGATGGGGCTGGATCTGGTCATTTCTAGCCTGGCAGCAATAGGCAATGAGACTGTGCAGGAGCATGGCCGCCTCCACCCCACTCAAAAGGCCCCATATGGCTCCACATGTCTCGCCCACCAGGAGGCTTGACTCTACTCAATAAGGACTTGCCAGCACCTTCTGTGTGCTGGGGCCTGTTCTCAAGAACAATCCCCTAGGCATTCTCTTGTGGAGCATTAATCTCTCTCCCTGTGAGGTGACAAGCAGAAAAATGTTCCAGTACACCTGGCCGCACCAGCCCGCTCAGCTAACTAACCTCACCTTCCTGGGTTATTTATATTCTCTAACAATTTCCCGAGAGAAGTTTTGACTGGCTAGTATAAAACCAAATGCATTTTGAAGAGTGTTAGGATCCAAACACATTAACCTTTAAGGGAGATAAGCGGCTTCAAACCCTCTGGGGAGGGGAACCAGACAGGGCCTGGTTGTAATTCTGAGATGTAATTCCCGCAGTGCTCTGTGAAATACAAATTAGGCTGGAACAGGAAAGGAATGTGCCCACACGCTAAACTCTCGGCACTTGGTGACTGACAGCGGACTCTCTTACTGGTATTTAATATCCAGAAATTTTCCTAAACTGGGCTCTGAGCTCAGCTAGCCCCTCTGTCCTATGGCTCCCTGTGCCACAGCGGCCAGGCTGAAAGTGCACTTAGTAGCAGAGTCTGGGAAACCCTCACGTCTGACTGGCCTCGAAGCAAGAAACCGCCGCCCTCCTGTCACATGTCCCGGCTGCACCCAGAGGACCTTCAACACGTCACGTATTTTGAAGTGTTGGCTGTTGGTGCCCAAATCAATGGCCCTTCTTTCCCGAGAAGTGCGATAGCTCTGACGTGCAGAGCGCAGTATTGAAGCAAACCTTGCTCCGTTTCAGTTTTGCACGCTTATTCTTCTTTGGCTTCGTGTCCAGCCTTTGCTCGTGGTCACAATGGCGCAGGGTGGAGTGGGGCAAGGGGGGCTGCAGCCGGCCTTTGGGCCTATGGCTCTGGAGCTGTCAGTGGCCCATTCCCACTTGCGCAGGGAGTGTAGCAGGGGCTGGTTCTCCCTTCCTCTGTCTCCTCCCCAGAATTTTATATCTTAAGGGGGGAGAAATAACGTGTCCGCCCTTCCTTCCCCAAGGACCAGGTCATGTGGCATTGCCAGCATTCTAAGCCTTCATTTTCCAAACTAAGTGCTGTCCATAGTCTTCACAAATAGGTACCCATTAGCCTATGACCCCCCCCACTTTTCTCACCTCCCCCCACCTGTCCCACCCCCCTCACACACACAGTGCATGGAGATCCACTCAGGAGGGGACAGAAGGGAAAGGTCAGTGCAGGCCCTGGAAGTGGACAGGAGGCCCTTTCAGCAGAGAAGCCCAAGGCTCTGCGTCCCCAGAGCATGGTGGGGGAGGGGGACTCCTAGCCAGTACCAGGGAGACTGCTGACCCCGGGGGATCCTGGTCCTGGGAGGCAGGGGGCCCCCGAAATAAACAGCCCAGCCCAGGGCCTCCTCTAGTTTGCTTCTCTGGTCCATTCTATACAAAAACACAGGCACACGTAGCCTCTCTCTCTCCAGTCCTCCCTCCCTCCCTTTTTAAAAAAAGATTTAAGTTTTCATTGCAATCACGGTAGATTTGGATGCGGTTATAAGAAACAGCACAGAACACCGACGTGCTGGCTGGGGCCACCACACACCTGTGTGAAAGACTCTCCATGGGGTAAGACAAGAAGACAATGGGGATAGGCCCTAGGGAGGGGCAGGAAATTTTAAATTGGAACCTGCTTTCAGTGTTGTTATAAAGCTGCATTTGTCAAGGAAAGCAGACAGATTATGTTACTCAGCAGCTTGTTAGCTTATTTATAACCTTTAGATATTCAGACATATGACCTGTGTGTGGCCTCCCGGGGGTGCCTTGGTCCCTCATCCCTGCAAAGATTGGGGTTACCCAAGACTAGAAGGGGCTGTATTCCTAAACTGATTACCTCTAGAAGCCCGAAGGTTCTGAAATCTAACTAGAATAGCCTCTCAGATGTCAGAAAAGACCCAGAAGTCTTGTAGAAACTTCTAAGATTCTGGCTTGACATGAAGACATACACTAGGGGATCGGGGTTGGTGTGTGAAAAACTGGGGTTTGGGGAGAGACTGTTTCGGTAAGAGTGAAATGAAGAGTTCTTGTTCCCTTGAGATAAATAACTTGTCTCTTTCTCTATTTTGATGTCTTATTCTTTGTTTTTGTTCTTTTGGGGTTTCCTAGTGCAAATACATTATGACTATGTCTTAGCTAAGCTGAGAGGCTGGGGGGAGGTGGGCTTGTGGGTTGATTAGCTGGGAAGCCCTGATCCCTGGGACTCCAGATAGAAGTGGAGGTGACAAGGCTGGTGGAACCCTAGAAACATCTCACAACTTCTGCTCTTTGCTCTTTATGGGACCACTGCATCAGGAAGGCTGGACCTGTTCCTGCCACACCATAGGGCCCAGGATATGTGTGTACTCAAGTAGTGTTTGTTGAATGATTGAATAAGTGTCCTCATTTAGCATGGTGCACAAAGTAAATACTCAATACACCGTTGAGTGAAAGAATAATTTTCAAACATTTAATTACTTAAGGAGGGCTAATAATCATAATGAACAATAGATCTAAATCTATAAATAAAACATGTTATAATTTTATAAATAATATAAGTGTACATGATAAAAATAACACAATTCATTAACTTAAAATTTAAATGTTAAACAAGAAATTGTTCAGATTATTTTATTGAATTATATTAATAAATCTACTCTTAGAAAGTTTAATTGCTTTGTCCAAAGAAAGAAAAACAAACTGTTAGCAAATTGAACACAGGGAGTGATTTAAAATAGCTTTAAGCAAATGTATGACAATTTCTTCTTGGTTTTAGCTTACAGAGCCCCATGCCCTGAATTTTTTGTGGTGTCCTTGATGGTGCTGCACCTCCTTGTGATATTTACTTGTATTGGTAGAACAAGTTCATCCACCAAGATAAAAACCACTGCTTCTAGAACAGGTCTACCAGGTAAGTCTGCTCACGTTATCTCTGTGTATGTGCTTATTTCAAGATCTTTGAGAAGTCCCTAGATGGTTGTCTCAGGGTATGCTTTTGCCAAATTATACTTAATGTTAAAAGCTCTAATCTTTTATCTACTTTACCATATACAATGTATCTGACCCTTGGCTAGGGCGGACTAACATGCTACCAGGACTCTGCAAGGCAGGCTGCAGCCTTTCTCACACCTTCTTATCTACACCAATTAGAAATGATAAGACACACAAATCAACGGAATCGTATGGAGAGTCCAGAAATAAACTCATACATGTATGGCTACTGATGGGGTTGTATAAAGGGGGAAAGAACAGCTTTTGGCAAACGGTGCTGGGACAAGTGGCTTTCCACAAGCCAGAATGAAGTTGGGCCTCTGTTTTACAGCATATGCAAAAATCAACTCAGATGGATCAAAGACCTAACTTTAGAAACTAAAACTATAGAAATCTTAGGAGAAAACATAGGGGTAAAGGCTTCTGATCTCAGATTTGGCAATGGATTCTAAGAAATGATATTAAAGTACAAACTGCAAAAAGAAAAAAACAAATTGCACTTCATAAAAATATAAAACTATTATGCTTCAAAGGACTGTCAAGAAAGTGAAAAGATGACCTACATAATAGTAAAAAGTATTTGCAAGCCGTCTAGATATCAGATAAGCGATTTGCAACCATAATATTTACAGAACACTTAGAACTCAAAGACCAAAAATAATTCAACCAAATTAAAAAATGGGCAAAGGACTTGAAAAGACATTTCTCCAGAGTAAACCTATAAATGATCAACTAGCATAGAAAGATGCTCAACATCATTAGTCATTAGGAAAATGCAAGTCAAAACCACAATGTGGTACACCTCATAACCAGAAGGGTGGCTAAGTACCCACAAGTAAAAAACAAAAACAAAAACAAAAACAGACTATAACAAGTGTTGGTGGAGATATGGAGAAACTGGAACCCTCATCCACTGCTAGTAGGAATGCAAAATGGTGTAGCAATTGTGGAAAATTTTAGTGGCTCCTGAAAATGTTAAACATAGAATTACCATATGACCCAGCATCCTAGGTATGAACCCCAAAAGAATTGAAAACAGGTGCTCAAATTTGTGTGCATGGATCTTCAGTAGAGCTCTAGTCACAATAATCGCAGGCCCACCTCTGTGGAGCAGTCTCCATGGGATTGAGCCTGGTCCTCACAACTCTTTGGTTAGAACTTCAAGAGCTAAACTACTCCCGAGGGGGCAGGAGGGATTGTATAGCCCTGCCCTACCATGTAGCAGGACTAGGGGAATAAGTCACAAGTCAGTTCCTGATGTCTCTGGCATGCCCCTCCTCATCTTCCTCCAGCTGCCTGCTAAGCAGACCTTGGATATCTTGGACAGCACCATAAATTTATAGAGTCCAGGGAAAAGTAAGGCTGTGGGACCCTCTATTAAGACATTATTGAGTTTCAAGATGGCAGTAACGTTACAGCCATACCTTCATGAAGAGGAGTCATTTTCCCTGCCCCCACTTACATGCAACCACCTTGGATTGCAAGATGCAGTTTGCCATGAACTGGACTTCCTGAGTGGGGGTCAGCTGGGAAGGAGCAAGGTAGAGATACAAAGGGAGGTAGAACAAAGGGAAGGGGATTTGGGGGAGACACATTGGAGGAGACATGTGGAGGAGAGACATGTAGAGACACTTGGAAGGTATATACTTGGAAGAGACAATGGGTGAGAAATGTGGGGGTGCTACTCCTGGTCCTTGGCAGAGACAATGGCAGCCATTAGCTTGGCATCAAGTTGGATTATGTGATATATTTTGAATTTTGAGTCCTCCATTCTGTCCCAGTTCTCAGGGACCTGCCTAACCCCTTTCTTGTGATTCCTTGTCAGACGGTGCCTTAGACTTGTGGCAAGCTTCAGGGCCTCAGTGGCCCCACTTTAGCCTAAGCCTACTTGTCTGGGCATTTGCCCACAAGGAGATGGTTAATTTGGGGAGTATCATTGGGAAATGGTTATTTCAAATCTGCTCTCTCTCTCTCTCTCTCTCTCTCTCTCTCTCTCTAGGTATACCATTGATTAAAAATCTTTCACACTGAGAGCCTGCTTCCTTTGTCTTTGTGCCCATAGATGGCGAGACCCGTTTAGAGCATGCACCCCTTAACAATTTGAGGTGTGGGTTCCCCTTGGTCTGCACTAAGGATAGCAGAGCATTTGATCTGGCATGGGGCTCTTCTCTTCTGAGCAGGAAGTCCCGTCTGCACAGGTCACACATCTTGGTGTAGCCCACCCCTGGCTCCTGTTCCTGGCCCCTTTATGTGAGCGCCCAGGATCCCCTGTCTGACAAAGGTGGACGCCTGTATCTTGCCCAGCAGCCTCAGACCACTCAGCTGTCTCCACAGGGTCGGCTTCTGAAGCCAGATCCTATCCTCCCAGTCTTTTCCCTCTTTCTTCATCCCCCATGCTACTTGGGACTCAGCGTGCCTGAGCCCTCAGTCCACCTGCACCTTAAGCATTCACTCCACAGACAGGAGAGATCTGACCCTGGCTGTGAGGCAAAGTGGGGGAAGCATAATGACACCTTGTACCGGTGCAGGCAGGTGAGCCTAAGGATTTCTAAAGCCATTTCAAGTCCTGAGATTCTCTATTTAATCCAGGCTGCTGTGGACTGTTACCTCCGTTGCTAAAGTGAGACTCAGAGGAGTTAAGTGACTTCAGCAAGGTCACATAGCTGCTTAAGTGTTTCCATTTGGGCACAACTATCCCTTGGAAAAATTTAAGGCATTTATTTCATTCACTTTGGGTAACATTGACTCATCTATAGCTACCTACTAGGACTCTGACTGTTATTTTTTTAAATAGCTTTGCTGGCAAGGTTTCAGTTTCGTTTCATTTTCTTTCTATCACTTAAGTTTCAGTTCTGTTTCTCAGGATATTCTCTTTCCTTTTTTATCTGATCCCAAGTGCTATAATTGTTCCTTTGTGCTCTTCCCCCTGATTAAAACACACCAGTTATTCTAAAGCAGATTTTTGTAAACAAGGAATCTAATCAGACTTAAAGCTAAGTTCCATGTATTCTAGCAAAAAGCAAAATGCATGTACTTTATTAGTATCTCAAACTCACCTATGGATATCTGCCTCCAGAATCTGTGCTTCAAAGGCTTCCCTTGTCCTGTCTGTACAACCTCAAGTGAAAAGCCCACTGAGGTGTCTCGGACACTGACTGGTTGAAAACTTCCTGAACTAACTGGGTATTCTGGTCAGAGAGCACAGGATGTGAGCAGCTTCCTTTTCTTCCTCCCCATTCACAGCTTGTTTTTAACTCCACCAGACCCAAACAGCCCAGCATGAACTGGAAAGTCTCCGGAAAGGACTCAAGATAGTAACCACGTGATCAGATGGCTCTTCAGGCTTGCCAGCACTTAAAAGAAAAAAAGATTGAACTCTTCTATTTAGACAATCACAGAGACTGGAGACAATCACTAAGACATTTAAACTGGAAAAGACTGCTGATTAAAACTACATCCTTGGTGTCCCCATACTTGAAATTATAATGTTCTACACTCCCAAATTCATGTGGGCTCGATTTTGATGACCTGGAAAAGAGAAAAAAAAAATAGAAAGAGAAAGGAAAAACGTTCATAGTGTGATTTTGCCATTCAAGATTACTCTGGTTAGCATTTTGACATAGTCCTATCCATCTCTTTTATATTTTTGCATATTGTTTTGACCAGGCAATTTGTACAATTTTATGTCTTGATTTTTTTTCACTTAAACTTTTATTATAGCATTTCCCTATGTTGCAACAAAATTTACCAACTGAATTTTTAAATGTTGGTATTATTATATCATTTATTAAAATAATGCCATGGGAACCAACTACATTTTAAATGATTATATAATATTCTCTCCTGTGCATGTAATGTATTTGCCCATGCACTTATTTCCTTATTTTTGGACATTAATAGCACAGATTATCCTAATATGAACATATTTGCATAAAAAAACTTTTCTTTTTTCTGACTTAGGGCTATTTCCTTAGGATATATGTTTAAAAATATTTATACTAAAGGCACAAAAAGAAGTTATTTTGAGATTCTTAATAGATATTTTCAAGTTGCTTTACAAAATGTTGTAGCAGTTTATACTCTACAGTAGCCTATTTAATGTTAATGTTCCTCACAAAATCAGTTACTTAAATTGCCTGAAGCAAATATTTCATTCAAAGCAGTATTCCACAGTCTAATTTATATGAAAATATTCTTTATCTCACCTAGCCCTCGGATGGTTTTTGGCAGTTCACTAACATGACCACATTTGAATTTAAAAACCAATTTTTAATCAGTTTGTTTATTTGACACAGAGACATAATGAGAAGCATAAAATGTGGTCCCTTGTCTGCAGGACAAAAATTATACACCGAAATAATTGGAGGAAAAGCAGAGTTGCTGGACTAGGTGGCAATGCTATGGAAGCTAACAAGGAGATGAGACACAGAGGACTGTATGGTTTGAGAAGACAGGTGATTATTGTCCTCCAAAAGCAGTGGAATATGACCCCAAAGCCTGGTCAGCCTCAGGTAAATACAAGTGAAGTCAGAATGATCTTCTCGACTGGGGAAACAAAATATATAAAGATTGGAACATGAGGAGACAGTAGGCTAAAATTTGTAAACAATGTAGGCTATCTTGGTGCACTAAATTCTGACATTCCATTTTCCAATTTGTATTCCAAAAAAAAAATCAGTCCACATAAGCTTATATAATTTTAGACTGGAAGAGACATTAGCAATCACTCACCCCAATACCGCCCATGCCCAACATTTTGCAAAGGAAGTAGTGGACATTAATGAAGGATTAGAAGTTTTATGTCCTAATTCCTAAGGCAATGCTCTATCTACTGGGGCCCTGTATACTCAGGTATACCACATGGGATTCTGACAGATGCCAGGATTATTTAGTGCTTTATATTTATATGCTTACACACACACACACACACACACACACACACACGCACACACACATACAAACACTCACGGTATTCTTACAAAATCTAGGAAAATAATGGGAGGGAAATGCCAAGAAGGAGTGATTAGGTATATGTACATTTTTTTTTAAAGATTTATTTATTTATTATTTATACAAGCACCGGGTACAGTCAGAGGTGCGGGAGGGAGAGAGAATTCACCAGAGCCAGAACGGGGAGCAGAGCAGGCAGAAGGACCGAAGTACACTGCTGAGGGGAGCAGCGGGCAGCAGGAGAGGACTGCGAGCCATGCGGGACCCTCTTCCGGTGGCCAGTAAGCAGCCGGGGATCGAACCAGCGCTGCAGAGGCTGTGGGCAGCTTCGCAACCCAGTGCTCAACCGCTGCGCCACTGGGGAGGCCCTATATGTACATTTTGAACTCAATTTAGTTCAAAGTTTTGTTCCAATTGCTTCTCTACCTTTTGGCTAAGATCAAGTGCAAAGTTTTGTTCAAGACTTGTATTAGGATATTTTGGGGGGAAGGAGTAAATGGTATAAATAACTATTGGAATTATTTGTGTTTTGTCTACATAAGTATATGTAAGGAAAGTCTACTAATATAATCATCATATTAATTAAACTTTTCCTTAACCCTTATTACATAGAAGTCCCTCCACTACATTTTATAAAGAATGCAATAATTTATAAGGTGGAAGATGTGTCCCCGAACAACATACAATTTAAATGAGGAAATAAGATCAAGAAAATATACCCAAAATACAAAATCATTTGATACAGACAACTTTTACATAATTTTTATTACCTACTCAGTCTCTTAGAAAAAGAGTGGGTACTTGGAGCATATTTGCTAAATGGATGAATGAATGAAAAAGAAATAGATGATGCCCATGTGGGACAATTCCTTAAAGAATGAAATTTTGAGCTGGGTTCTCAAATGAGATGAGAAACATTTCAGATAAAGGAATGACGCATGAGCCTTAAGTGTATATCTTTGGCCAGTTAGACAAAGATGTCCTCTGATCACTAAAACTGAACATTCTGAAATAGATTAACTGTGGCATAGCCAGGCATATAACATACATAGCATGCAATTAACAGTACATCTCACTAAGAAGTAATTTTAGGGAAAGTGAAAAAATATATATTCTAAAACATAGCATTGCAAAGTAAATAAAGGATTTGTCCTCCACAAAAAAATAAGCACAACAGAAACTATCCCCTAACCTTAACCCTAATTATATTGCTATCAACAAGAACAGCTAGGAACAGAAAGTATCCCATTTCTTGAAATTACTCATATTAAGGATGAGTGATCACATAGTTGCAAAACACAAGTGGATGCTGATTCTCTCCTCATATAAAAGATATGTCAGTTTAGTTCTGTGTGACTGCACAGGACAAAGGTGATGCAAGTATACACAAATCACTCACTGTCATACAATACCTTTGCTCCAAATAGCCCTCTGTGCCTTTTTCATGGTGAAAGAGTTAGACCCATTGTTTTAAGCTCTGGTCCCTATAACATAAAGGTGTTCTTTCTTCATTCAAGAAGTTTTAACTATACAAAAAGACATGTGCTTGCTATTCACAGATACAGAACAGATGTATATTTTTTGGTTATAATTTTCTTTCTCCATTGAAGTCATTTTTTTAAAAGATTTATTTATGCATACAAGAGCTGGGGTACAGGCCAGAGACATGGCGGGGGGGTGAGAGGATTCACGAGAGACAGAGTGGGGAACAGAACAGGCAGACTGTCTGAAACACATTGCTGAGGGGAGCAGCAGGCGAGACAGGAGAGGTCTGTTTTGCCATGTGGGTTGCTCCCTGGCCGGCCGGGAATTGAACTTGTGCTACAGAGGCTTTGGATTGCTTCATAGTGTGGTGCTTAACCCCTTGCGCCACCAGGGAGGCCCCTGAAGTCATTTTTTCTTAAAGAAAAGGACTTTATACTTATTTAATCTAAATCCTGAACATTGTGTGCTGGTGTATGCAGATATCTGAAAACATGGGGTAAATGATAAGAAGTGGGCACAGTGTTTACATAAGCAATGCTGGCTTGCCCTGGTTGTTTGCCATTGAGATCGCTGTGGCTACTTCAAAGAAATAATACCAGAAAATAGAGGTGAAGGAAACACATTTCAACTCATTCTATGAGACCAGTATTAATCTGATGCCAACACCAAAGGCATCAGGAGAAAAATGTAAGCCAATGTCCTTCATGAGTATGGATGTAAAAATCATCAGCAAAATATTACAAACTGAATCCAGCAACATATAAAAAGGGATTATACATTATGACTAAGTGAGATTTATTCAAGGAATGTAAAGTTGGTTAATATCTAAATACATTCAATATACCATATAATAGAATAAAGTACATAAACCACATGATCACCTCCAAGTACTTGATAAAAACTCTCAGCAGACTAGGAAGAGAAATGATCTTCAGCCATCTAAAAAAAGGGCATTTATGAAAAATTGTAAAGCTAATATCATAATCAAAGGAAAAAGATGGCATTTTCTTCCCCAGTAAGAATGGGGAAAAGGTAAAGGATACCCACTCTCTCAACTGTATTCGACATGATACTCGAAAGTTAAGTCAGTACAATCAGAAAAGAAAAAAAGTCACGCTGCATACAGACAGCCACCAGACACAGGAAGAATGCTCACTTATCAGCAGGGAAATCATTTATCAACAAATCAAACCACAGTGAGATACCATCTCCCACCTGTGAGAATGGCCCATATCAAAAAGAATGGCCCAGAATCAAAACGGGTTAGTGAGATAGCCAGAACTGATAAGATTGTGGGTAGGGTGACCCTTCTCATGAAACTTACAAGGGACTAGTAAACCAGAATGCTGATGTCATTACTTACAATGTGGGATGTCCCTTTCTTAAGAGTGGATTCTCTATCTCTATTCTCCCATGTATCTTATGTTCCAGTATTAAGTCCATCAGGAGCTTACATGCTAATCAAAAGGTTGTTGGATACTGTATCAAAATGAGGCTGTGAAATTTGGAAGATCCGGGAGATGTTTCATAAGGTGAGGGGGAAAAAAGCCCAAAGAACGAAGTCTTCTCCAGGATAAAGGAAGTCTTTCTAGTGATGGAAAAAATTATGTTCACAAGATGCAAAGGCTCTTTATCACAAAAAGAGCTGGGTCAAGTTGAGCAAATGCATACACTGTTCATATCCCCTACTTTAGATTCAGGCAGTCTCCTTAGTCGCTTTGGAAAGAAGACAGACGCTTTTTTAATTCTTTAAAATAATTAAAATGAGCTTCACACAGAACACCATCCTCCTGATGCTTGCCTGTGATTTTATGGAGTTGGGTTCCAATGTGATATTTTGC